GAGGAGGAGGGGGAGGAAGAGGAGGAGGAGGACGAGGAGGCGGAAGAGAGTTTGAAAAGTAAGAGGAACAGGGGCATGATGAAGGACGGGTCAGATGATTGAGGAGGACGAGGACAAGATAGATGAGGATGCGGAGGGTGAAGGGGGGGGATTAGAGTGGAGAAGTCGTAGTTCAAAGAGATCAGAGGGAAGATTTGCCCCTGTCGGGTGGACGCAGGCACCCGACAGTTGCTGATATTCACCGATCGTGAACCGTAACGGGCTCATGCTGATTTAAGACGGCGAGGAGTACGATCAGAGTACCAGGATAATGACGAAAAGGGAACACGATGAGGGGACGAGGTGGAGGAGGCGATAGGCGAAAATGAGGAGGGTAGGGGAAGAGGAATAGGATGGGGACAAGCGGAGGGACGAGGATGGGCGGAGGAGGAGGGGAGCGGACGGTGGAGGGCGAAGGTGGAGGAGGATGAGGACGACATGGAGCATGGAAAGGCGGAGAAACAGTTGGACGAGAACAAGGAGGAGGGATGAGGGGATAACGAAGGGGAGGGGGAATGAGGAGGGAAGGGCAGGTGAGATGACCGACGGGCACGAGGAAGAGGAGGATAACGACGACGACGACGGCGAGACGAGAAGGATAGATGGATGTTGAGGAGGAGGAGGAGGCAGACCCATTTCCGTACAGAGTCGGCACGGCTTCGAGTTGTGTTGTTATCGATTGTCATCGGCATTGTCGTCGGTCCGAGGAAAAAAAGAGAGAGTCGGCGCGGTCCATGGCCAAATCAGGCTGCATGGGCTTCATGTTTCGGAGGTACTCCCCCCGCGCCGTGGATCCCGCGCCGTGCCAATGATCTACACACCTGTCGCGGTTCACTTTCGTCCCGTTTCACATTGATTGATCGATCACTGGGCCGTGCAGCTGCGCGGCGCCACGGCGCCAACTTGCCGGGCTTCCGCCGGCCCTCCTATGGCAAGTCCTTGCCTTGCCTTGCCTCGTGGATCCTGCGTCCGAGCGCCAGGTCCACGGATCCTTACTCCCTGTGAGCGTGCGCCCGAGAGGTGCTTTTTGCACGTGACGCGCTTCTGCTGCCCGGCTGCCTGTGGAGAGCGCGCCCTTGACCTTGGCTCGCACCGGCGCGGAGAAATGGCGCGAGGTTGGAGGAGGGTTCTTCATCCTGCTCCTCCTCTTCTCCTTCCCCTCCTGCCCGTCCTGCTGCTCGTCCTCTTCGTTCCTCCTCCTTCTCCTCCTCCTACTCCTCCTCCTTCTCCTCCTGCCTCTCGCCCTGATCATCCCCATCCTCCGTCCTAGATATCGGATGCGCTGTCTCATATTTCCAGGCCGATCGCTCGTGCATTGTTTCGTCCTTCATGGGAACAGCACGTGCCATTCTTCTGTCGTGATCGTAGTACACGTGGTAGTAGTCGTAGTAGTAGCACTACGACTACGAGTCGTGGTAGTAGTGGTCGCAGCAGTAGTTGTAGCAGTAGTGGGTGCGATCGTAGTTGCAGTCGTCGCATTAGTAGCGGTAGTAGTATTCACAGCAGCAGCAGCAGCAGCAGCAGTAGTAGTAGTAGTAGTAGTAGTAGTAGTAGTAGTAGTAGTAGTAGTAGTAGTAGTAGTAGTAGTAGTAGTAGTAGTAGTAGTAGTAGTGGTAGTGGTAGTGGTAGAAGTAGTAGTAGAAGTAGTAGTAGTAGTAGGAGTAGTGGTGGTGGTGGTAGTAGTAGCATTCGTGGCCGTAGTGCTCGTAGTAGTAGTAGTAGTAGTAGAAGACGTAGAAGTACTCGTAGTAGTCGGAGTAGTCGTAGTCGTAGTAGTAGTAGTAGTAGTAGTAGTAGCAATAGTAGTAGTAGTAGTAGTAATAGTAGTAGTAGTAGTAGTAATGGTAGTAGCAGCCGTGGTCGTAATAGTAGCCGTAGTAGTAGTAGTAGTAGTAGTAGTTGTAGAAGTAGTAGTAGTAGTAGTAGTAGTAGTAGTAGTAGTAGTAGTCGTAGTAGTCGTAGTAGTCGTAGTAGTAATAGTAGTAGTCGTAGTAGTAGCAGCAGTAGTAGTAGTAGTAGTAGTAGTAGTTCTTTCAGCATCAGTAGTAGTAGCAGTAGTAGTAGTAGGAGTATTATTATTAGTAGTAGTAATTGTATCAGTAATACAAGTACTACCAGTAGTAGCACCAGTAGTCGTAGTCGTAGTAGTAGTAGTAGTAGTAGTAGTAGTAGTAGTAGTAGTCGTAGTCGTAGCCGTAGTAGTAGTAGTAGTAGTAGTAGTAGTAGTAGTAGTAGCAGTAGTAGTAGTAGTAGTAGTAGTAGTAGTAGTCGTAGTAGTTGTAGTAGTCGCCTTGTCGTCGTCGTCGTTGTCGTCGTCGTCGTTGTAGTAGTAGTAATAGTAGTAGTAGTAGTAGTAGTAGTAGTAGTAGTCGTAGTAGTCGTAGTAGTAGTAGTAGTAGTCGTAGTAGTAGTAGTAGTAGTAGTAGTAGTAGTAGTAGTAGTAGTCGTCAGAATAGGATTAGTATTCAACTTGGTGGAGGCCCCCGGGATGTCTAAGGATGCCTTCGTTTTGGTTTTCGAAGGCTCCTCAGGGTATCCGTAGGCCTTCCCTAATGGTTCCCTTGTGCTTCCCTGGGGGTCCCGAAGGAGTCTGGGGGGTTTCGGATCCTGAGGGCTTCCTTAGGGATCCCTAAGGATTCCTGCGGGCTTGCTTCTCTAGGGATTCTACAGGATTCTCAGAAAGGGCTTCCGAAGGGATTCCGGGGGATTCCCTGGGGATTTCCCAGCCATCTTTAAGAATTTCGTAGGATTCCCTAGGGATTCCCCAGGATTCCCCAGGGATCTCTTTTGACTTCGGAAGGAGTCCCGAGGGAATCCCTGATTGGATTCTCAAGGATTTCTTCCTGATTTTCTAGGACTCTTGTGGATTCCCTCGGGATTCATCAGGAGTTCATAGAAGATTCGTCAGAACTCCTTGGGATTCCCAAGGATATCTCAAGTTGTTTTGAAATATTCTTCAGGGTTCGTGAGGAATCCATAGGGAGCCCGAAGGATTTCATTGGATTCCTAAGGATTTCCTTTGGATTCCTAAGGATTCGTTCAGATTTCCTCTGGACTCCTAAAGATTTTTGAAGCATTCCTGAAGATTTCCGAATAAGATTATCCGGATTCCTAGGATTCCCCAGGTGCCCCCTAAGGCTTCCGAAGGATTCCTCTGGATTCATCAAGACTCCCTTTGGATTCCGAAGGAATCTCAAGGATCTTCTAAGGATTCCTGAGATCCCCGATGATTGGTTGTGAATTTTGCAAGGACTCCCCAGGGGTCTTGTGTGATTGCAAAGGATTGCCGCGGGATTCCGAAAGTTTCCCGAGGGATGACCCAGGGATACCATAGGGATTGCAGAGGATTGCCTCGAGATTCCTACACATTCCCTAGGGAAACCACAGGGATTCCCTAGGGACGATTCCCCTGGGATTCCCAAGGGATTCCTTATGGATTCCCAAGAATTTTTTCCGGATTCCTTCGGATGTCCTTTGGATGCCAAAGGACTCTTGCAAATGTCCTCAGGATTCCGACGGTTTCCCGAGGTTTTCCGAAGGAATTCTTTTTGGATCCCTTAGAATCCTGAGGGATTCAACAGAATTCCCTGCGGATTCCAAAGGATTGCACTGGGATTCCTAAAGATTCCTTGGTGATTCTTTTGGGATTCCTTGGGGACCTCCCTGGGGCCGGCAGAGGCATCGGCACAACTGCGCGCGACCACCGTCGTGGCAGGCGTTCTAGCGGACTTTTCAGCTTAGGTGAAGCGTCTTCCGGGGCCGTCTGGGGCGTTGCGCGGCCGCCAGACTGGAAGGAACCCCCGGGGCCAGCAGATGCGGCAGCACACCCTGCGCGCGAACGGTTTTAGATGGGCCCGGCTGAGAGCGGGCACGCCCCATTATGCCAACCCCTCTGCCGGCCCCAGCCAAGGGCCGGCAGAAGGGTTGCTACGTTGTTGTTGTTGGTGGTGTCGTTGTTGTTGTGTTTGTTATTGTTTTTGTTATTGTCATTGGTATTGTTTTTGTTGTTGTTGCTGTTGTTGTTGTTGAACACTCGTTTCTAAATAATAGTTGTTGCTGATATCCGGAAGCGGTTCCGCGCTCTCTCGCTCCAACGCCGGCTACATTTTTTCTGAAAGCGAGGCTCCCGCTCGAGCGTTGGCTTGAGCCTAAGTGTGGGCCCTTTGGGGGGCCCAGCTACGACAACAACGGCTCCCGCTTTTTATCCCGAGACACCCTGGCCAGGGAGGCCTCCGATTCAGGAGGCCCAGCCACGACGACAAGCGCTCCTGCTGGATACTCCCTCACGATTTACTCCGAGAGCCCCTGGCCAACAAGGCCCCCGAACTCAGAGACGGCGCTCTCGCTTGATACTTTCCCGTAATTCAGTCAAGTTGGTGGCGGCCCGGAAACTGCGAAAAGGGCTCCCGTTCGATATTCTTCCATAGGTATTCCGAGAGCCCCTGGCCAGAGAGGCCCCCGAATTCAGGAATGGCGCTGTCGTTCGAGACTTCTTCGTACTTCAGCCAGTGACCGACAAGATGAGATTCCCCCGAAACGGGGTGCAATCGAAGTCGAAGTGGGAGGGTATCGAGGGTTGGGGTATACGGAATGCAAGGCAAGCGTGCCAGTAAGAGCGAACAGTCTTAAAATGATTGTTGTTGTTGACGGTGGTGTTGTAAGCTGGGGGGCCGAACGCATAGTCTGAGGCGCAAAATATTCTTAGGCATTACAACAGGGTGTAACCCCTGGGAGGGGCACTGCACTTGAAAAGTGCCATGGGATCTGGTGGGGGGGACCAAAGACAACTATCGTGTCGAATGAGGGCTGGCAGCAACAAGCACAACATATAATCACTTACACACCAAGCAAGCATAATCCAGACCACGGGATCCCACTCCACCCATACAGTCGGGGATGGTGTAAGACCTATCGGCTCCCTCGTTCTGGTCCTACCCTCCTCTCCTCGCCCTCGCCGCCAAGCCACACAGGGCAGTGCCAGACGCCTGCCTTCCATGGCGCAGTCCATCTTGCGGAGGCTGCCGTGAGCTCCCGCCAGGTACCTGAGGCCTCCCGCCCTTGCCGCCCCTCTTGCCGTGGCCACCCCGCGTGGGCGAAGGAATCCACCGCGAAGGAGGTCGGGCCACCCTGCCCGGGGGGCGGTGCCGAAGGCAGAGCCGGAGGCAGCGTCGGGGGCAACGTCGGATTCGGTGCCGGATACGGCGACGGGCACGGCGTCGGGCAGGTCGTTGGTAAGGCCGTCGAGGTGGCCGTCAGGAGGGCCGTCGGGAAGGCTGTCGGGCGAGGCGTCAGGGAAGGCGGTGGGCAGAGCGTCCGGAAAGCTTCGGGAGAGGCGTCAGGTATAGAACCCCCGCAAGCGCCTGTGAAAGGCCTGCTCGAGCGCAGCCGCGCTGCCCCATCGACGTCCCCCCACATCTTGGCTAGGTTGCAGCTCCTGGAATGTTGAGCTCGGCATCGGTGCTGGTACGCTCGTTGGCCACAGCCGACTCAGCCTGGCTTGGTCCAGTTCTGTTCCGCCCACTCCCGCCCAACCCGGCTTGGTCGGACTTACTTTTTGGTCGGCGGGGCGAGAGCGAGCCTCTTCCGCTAAAAGCTAGGCGAGCGAAGACCCGGATGGCGAGCGATGTGGTGTTGGCGTCAACGGCACGTCGCGAACACCAGCCTCAAGCACTCTTGGTCGGACCTACAAGCTGCGCGGATGTCTGGCTCAAGGCCCCTCAACTTGGTCCGCACAGCCCTTGGCCGCCCGATGGGGCGCGCGCGACCCTGGCTCCTCGGGCTGCCGCGCGCGCTGGCCACGTGGCCCGAGACCACTGCAACGGGCAGCCTCCCGGCCCCCAGTGGCGGCGCGGCCGCCCCCCCCCCCTCCTCAGCTCCTGGCGGGCCCGCAGGCCAGCCTTCGTCATCGGGGGCCAAGCATGCCCCCCCTGCCTGCAGGAAGTGGAGAAAGAGGAGGAAGTGGAGGAGCAGGAGGATTAGGAAGAGGAGGGGGAGGAGAAGAAGCAGGATGAGGAGGAGGAAGTGGAGGAGCAGGAGGGGGGTTTTGTTGGCGTATGCAGAAGAGGCGTGCGCGCTCTTGCCATCGCCACCCCTCGCTTATCTCTCTCTCTCTCTCTCGCTCTCTCTGCTCTCTCTTTCTCTCCCTGTCCCTGCTCTCTCTCTCCCTCTCATTGCTCTGTCTGTCTGTCTGTCTGTCTGTCTGTCTGTCTGTCTGTCTGTCTGTCTGTCTGTCTGTCTGTCTGTCTGTCTGTCTGTCTGTCTGTCTGTCTCTCCCTGTCTCTCTCTCTCTATCCGCTGTCGCTGGTCTCTGCTCGCTCGGCCGTGGATTCGACCCCCGCGGCCTGGCATGGTGCACTGCCGCACCAGATCCCCGACCCCCCTGGTGGCCGGAGGGGTCCCGCGGGGGGGCCCCGACGGAGGCCCGACAGAACAGGGGCCCGGGAAGTGCCCGACCGCCGGCCCCCTCCTCGACCCTCGAGAGGCGCGGAACGAAGCCGCAGCAGGCAGGAGATAGGCTGATTGTTTTTTCCTTTACGTTTTTGGGGTTTATATATATGTTGCGTTTTCATGATTACGAGAAAAGCAACAAACATGCAATGACCAAACAGCAGAACTCGAGGGGGCCCGAGCGAACGAGCAGGAGGCCTGGAAGGATCTGCTGCTGCGCCAGACATCCCTGGCCCCTGGTGGCCGGAGGGGCCCCGCGGGGAGGCCCTACGGAGGCCCGACAAAACAGGGGCCAAGAAAGCGCCCGACAGCCGGCACCCGACTATCTTCTACTCTTCTTCCAAAATCCGCCTGCAGGGGAGCACGCCCGACCTGACTCTGCCCCGTTCTTCACTCCCTGGTGAGGCCACCCCCCAGCACCACCCGCCCGAGAGAGGGCGGGGGGACCCGCCGACAGGATGGCGGGCGATGGCGCTGGCGTCGCCCCGCCCCCCCCGGCGGCGCTCGACGGCCGCACCTGCCAGGACGCCCCCCGGGAGCCGCCCCGCCCTGGGGGGGCGGGGGGGGGGGGCGGGGCGAGAGGCCCTTGAGGCAGGCCTGGGGCGGGGGCCGGGCTGCCTTCAGAGCGCTCGGACCGCTCTTCGACCTGCAGCGGTCCTCCTCGAGCCTCGGTCGTCGAGCCCTGGCCCTCGAGACGCCTCGAGCCCATGCCCTCGAGCCTCGGACCTCGAGCCTCGAATCTCGACCATCGAGCCTCAAGGGCAGACGAGGCGTTGTGGAGGTAACTGCGCTTCGCGGCTTGGGCTGGAGATTGTTGGAGAGGCGCCCGTCTCCAAGGCGGCGGCGCGAGGGCGCGAAGATGGTAGCGGGGCGCGATAGGCAAAGCTAGGGGACCTGGGAACACTCTCAGAGCGTTCTGGAACGCTCTGGAACGGCCGCGGCGCCCGATACATCCGCCTGACCCTGCCAGTTCTCAGAGATCCCCGATATGTCCTCATTCTGATCTTGATCTACTGTATGTTTATTCTGCTGTTGTCTTAGTCATCGGAGGGAAAGCTGGAGGAGCTATTCCTCATGATCGTCAGGACCATACCCTCCCCTGACCGGTACGGGGTTGGATAGCTCGCGCAGCACATCTCCTCTAGGTTGGGGTGACTGTTGCAGATCCCGAAAGAGACGGCCGCCATCTTCACCTACAGCTATGACGCTGACGCGAGGACCCTGTTGGGCGTTGGAGGGTCTCTGGTTTTCGGGCCCGTCCTTACAGCGCCGGTTTTAATACACGCTCCGCGTGCGGACCATATATTAAACATAAAGGGTTACTTAATACATACAAGGATGAGTTTATGCATTGATTCATTCATAAATTAATCATGTATTCAAAGTCCGATATATATATATGTATAGATTAAAAATCCTATGGATTAAAACCTGCCCTGTAGATCATGCTCGGGGAGCCCGTTCGTGGCCGAGGCTCGCCGTGGCCAGAAAAAATACACCCGTCGTCCCCAGCTCGGCGTTCCCGATGGTAGCAGGAGATGGCTGTACCCCCCTCTGCGGGGGAGGTACAGCCGGGGCCCTGCAGAAGGAACCCTTCTCGTTGGGGAGGGGCTCCGTGTTCCTTGATCGTTTCACAGCTTGCCTTAGGTTTTCCTTAGGTTTTGGATTGGGAATCGAAGTTGAGCTTGTGGAGACAAGGGGCCCCGTTCCTTATTTAGGGTTCCTATTCAGGGTTCCTTAGGTCAACGCCCCGACTGTATGGCTGCTGCGAAGCCCGAGGGAGACGACGTCCGTCGGAACGAACCGAACCACGTGCAATGAGGCACGCTTGCCTCCGCAGCGGGAGCGTGCTCGAGCTTGCTGCTGCAAGCGAGCATCTCTGCTGGGCGACGCTCTGGTGGGAGCGCCCTGGCGGATCCTTCGCAGCGGGGCCGCTTGGTGCATCGACGCGCTCTGGCCACCGTCGGTTTCGGCTATGGCAAAGGAGCCGAGAAAAAAACACTTCGGGTTCAGGAAGGGCTTCGGTTTTCAGTCGGGCATGTCCATCTACAGGATAACTAGCTAAACATATTCAAACCATAGTGTGGGAGATATGTCTTACTATGTTTGACTATTCTTGAGTATTCTTCGAGTATGTTTCATGTTTCCTCCCAAATCAGCTTGTAGGGGGACACGCCCGACCTAATCCTGGCCATTCTTCAAATTCTGCTGGGATAACCTCTTCGTGGCGATGCACGCTGTGGCCAGCAGCGCCTCTTCGTTGCTTCGTTGGTGCCCCTCGTGGCAGAAGGATGGCCAGTGATCACTGGCTGCAGGCGGCACCGTGCGCTACAGCTGGCCTGGGCTCGGGCCGATCAGCATTCCCCCAACATGGCCTGCTAGGCCGCTTTTCGCCACGGAGTGCGCGGGAGTCCATGCGAAACCCCGGTCTTATGTGCAGAGTGGCGGTGGGAACACGCGTCCCTAGGAATCCCAGAAGGAGCGCCGAAAGTCATCAGGGTGACTTACAGCACGATCTGAAATAAATCGTGTCTGGAGGAAAAACAAAATTCCCCAAAAATTGCCGTCTCACGTGTTTCGCAACGCCGGGTGCCGCGGGCTCCTCTCCGGAGAGCCAGCGCAGACAACAGCACGACGGGCACGACCGAGGGTCCGCTCGCGCGTGGGGGGCCGCGCGGCAACCAAGACATACCAAGGATGACTGCACCCCTGCCCTGCACCCATTCCAATGATGCAGTCGACCAGCACGAGCGGGCAGCAACCACTCTCACCATTCCTCCTTCGTCCAGGTTCTGGTGCGTCTGCTGGGTGCATCCTCCATTGCGTCATCGTGCCCCCAGTTTTCGGCGACGTGCGATTCGTTGGCGCACGTTTGCTCCTTGCCCCCTCGACGACTGGCAGCGCGCGGGCCATGACTCGGGCCTCCTGGGGGCCTTTGGAGACGATCCGGGCCCGCATCTCTGGGACGCTCTCGGCGAGGCGCAGTTGCTGGAGAGCACCCCGAGGTTAGAAAACCTCCGAGGGCCAACGAACTTCCCCCCCCTCCCTGACCGCCTCCCCATTCGACGACGAAATTGGTAGAGCCAACGCCAGCAGCGCGGCGACCGCCAGAATCGTCTCGGCACGCCTGCAAAAAGGCTCCCCCTCAGCTTCGGAATTTGCGGATCCTCCGGAGCGTCGTCGCGCCCTCAGCTTCGCCAGCCTGCTCCGTTGGCGCCCGCTTGCCCAAAACGCCTAAGCCGATGGCAGCATCGTGGTTACGGCCAGGATCTGTTCGGCTCTCGCTGCATGGTGCGCCCCTCCCCCACCTGCAGCCCCCCCTTTATCCTCCGCTCCGCGTCGGCTTCTTTTTCTCCTCCTCCTCCTCCTCCTCCTCCTCCTCCTCCTCCCCTTTATCCTTCTCCTCTTTATCCTCCTCCTCCTCCTCCTCCCTCTGCTCTCCTCCTCCTCCTCCTCCTCCTCCTCCTCTCCTCCTCCTCCTCCTCCTCCCCCTCCTCCTCCTCGTCCTCCGCCTCGTTTCGGAGAGAACTCAAGCCACGCGCAGCACGAGGCAGCGCGGCAGAGTCCAGCCGTGCCCCGAAGGGTGCGACCCGCGAGCCTCTCGTCGGCGCGGGGGGTGCGGGGCGCGCGGCCGCCCCCCCGCCGGCAGGGCCTGGCCCCGATGGCCCGGGCGCGCGGCGCGTGCCCTCTCCCCCCCCTGGATTCTTGATTCCTTCCTCACTCCTACTCCTCGCTCCTCCTCCTCCTCCTCCTCCTCCTCCTCCGTGTCTTCCTCGTCCTCCGTCTCCCTCTGCTGGCCTTCCTTGCTCAATGTTTCCTTCTCCTCTTCGCCCTTCTCCTCCTCCTGCTCCTGCTCCTCCTCCTCACTCCTCCTCCTCCTCCTCCTCCTCCATTCCTTGTCCTTTCTGCATGACTTCTCCCTGTCGCACCCCGAGGCAAGTTCTTAGGGCGGGCCGGGCGCTTCGCCTGATAATTCCTCACCGCGCATGACTCTGAAGCTAAACACTTAGCAACCGTTTCAAACATGGAGGGCGGGTCGTTTTCAAAATGTGGCTGTCGCCTTAGCGCGGCGGACACTACTTTTCTACACTTGCAAGAACTTCATGGGTTGAGGGCGGGTCGTTTTCAATGTGTGGCTCTCCTTTCAGCGTGGCACACATTTGTTTTAAATATTGGCAAACGTTTCACGGATTGAGGGCGGGTTGTTTTCAGCATGTGGTTCTCGCCTTGGCGCGGCACACTTTCATTCAAACATTTTGCAAGAGTTTCACATATTGAGGGCGAGTCGTTTTCGAAATGTGGTTCTAGCTTCATCGCGGCGCACATGCGTTTTAACATTCGCAAGAGTTTCACGGATTGAAGGCGGATGGTTTTCAAAATGTGGTTCCCGCTTTAGCGCGGCGCACAACCGTTTTGAACAATTTGCAAGAGCTTCACGGATTGAGGGCGAGTCGTTTTCAAAATGTGGTTCTCGCTTTAGCGCGGCGCGCATTCCTTTTAACAACTTGCACGAGTGACACGGGCTCCCATCAGAAACGTGCCAGAAATGGTGTTTTGAAGGATTCGGTATTTTGCGGGCGCAACAGTTATGTTGATTCGTTGTGTTGAAGTCCCAGGAATGGCGTTCTCGGACGATTTAGGAATGTCAACACGCAACAGTCAGGTTGACCCGTGGCGTTAATTTCCCGAGAACATGTTTTGGTATGCTTCAGGGTCTTCAAACGGTTTCCCCTCAGAGAGGCAGTTCCTTCAATGGAAATGAACCGTTGCAGGGGCCTATCAGGAGATAGCTTGGAGGGAGAGTTTATTCGAACATCGTTGATGACTCCTCTTGGGTTTGCACTGGTCCTCCTGCTCCTCCTCCTCCTCCTCTTCCTTCTCCTTTCCGCACGCCTGTGTCGTGTCGTCTGTTCGTCGTCGTCTCCATTTCTCTTGGCGCAGGGCTTCTCTCGGCGGATACAACAGGGGTCCTCCTCGCCTCGGCCGGCCCGTGCTCAAGGTTGCCACTCCCCAGCCTGCAGTGCCCCCCGGGGGCGCTGCCCGCCGCCGCTCTCCAATGGGCGGGGGCGGCGGCGGCCGCGACGGCGACAGGCCGGCGGCGGGGAGGGAGCATGCGGAGGACTGGGCGAGGAGGACAGCAACGGGGCTGAGCGAGGATGGGAAGGGGAAGGGGAACGAGCAGGAGGAAGTGGAGGAGGAGGAGGAGGAGGAGGAGGAGGATAGAACGCGACAGGTTCGCTTCTGACTGGCCCAACGTAAAGAAGGAGGGGGGGGGAGGAGGAGGAGGAGGAGGAGGAGGAGGAGGAGGAGGAGGAGGAGGAGGAGGAGGAGGAGGAGGAGGAGGAGGAGAGGAGGAGGAGGAGGAGGAGGAGGATATCAACACCCGATTGGCGGGCGCGTCGAGGTCGGTGACGGGGCCGGGCAGAGACGGGGAGGGGGTGGAGAAGAGCGCCCCATAGATCACACCTGCGATGAGGGCTCGGAGCCCGGGGGATCAGAAACGCCGACGCCCTTCTCATGGCCAGCACCTGTCAGG